TCTCTCTCATCTCTCTCTCATCTCTCTCTCATCTCTCTCTCATCTCTCTCTCATCTCTCTCTCATCTCTTTCTCATCTCTTTCTCATCTCTCTCATCTCTCTCTCCTCTCTCTCTCTCTCCTCTGTCTCTCGTCTTTCCGTCTCTCTTCTCTCTCTTCTCTCGCAGGAGGATCCGGGCAAAGAGCCACATATAAAGGACTCTTCACCCCTGCCTCCAAAAAGAGCGCCGTGTTTTTTCCTACCTCGCTGCCCTCCACTTTCCCATTCTGGAGCGCTAGCTTTCGCCCCCCCCCTTGGCCTCAAGTTTATGAAGAAGATTCGCCCTGGACCTGTGGCGGGCTTTCCTGAAGAATCTCATCATATATCTCACCACTAGTCACTAGTTAGTTGGTCGGGTCCGCCGTTGAAGCCCACCAGAAACACATTATGAACATCAATGGAGGCAGGAGGGCAGACATGGCCAGACAGAGAAGGCCAGATGAAGCTCCAAGTTGCCTTTCACACTCGCTAGCTAGCTCAAGATTTGTGGGACCATCTTTGACCCCTCAAGCTCTAAACCCAGGCTTGAGACACACTCAAACCGTGGCCGTTTCATGCTGAGATGTTCGCTCGGATCGCCCAGGTCTTTGGCAGCTCAGAGAACCTGGCCTCCCAGGCATCTTCTACGGTCGCTCGGCAGGATGCACTTGGAGTCATCACAGGCATCGAGAGAACACCCCTGCATCGGACGTAGGCCCTGAAGGGGGCTGTTTATACGCATCCGTCAGTACCTGTATATATATTATATATATATATATAACTATAAAATAAAAAATACAACTTTTGGAAAGCTCGTGCATTTCGAAATTTTGTTTTGATGCATGTCTTCTTCCTTATGCGACACTCAAAGTAGTCACAGGAAATGAGACAAACACATGTGGGCAAACTGAAGTTTGATGGGCCAAAAAAGAAGCAAGAGAGCTTTTGCTCTTTAAAGTCTTCATATTCAGGATGATGTCTTGGTGTATTTGCATGTTTTTCATGTAGGGAGAGGTGTGTGGAACTGATCCTGGGCCTCAGGATGTGGGGTTGAGGATTTGTGTGTTTTGTGGAAGTTGGGAAGTTCCTTTTCTGATGGCGGGGGGTGCAGAACCTGGTTTTGTATTGAGTTGGTTGTTATGGTCGTTGACTGCTCCACAGGGCCACAGGGTGAGTCAACTTTTATTGACAAATCCATCTGGCTTGAGTGTCCCATGCAGTCCGAGTCTTGTTGAAATTGCCATCAGGTTGGCCCTGCAATTGCAGTCACTACGAAAAAAGATTCTACTATAAAGTCCCTTGATTATTAATAGACCTCCATATGGAGAGGTTTTACAAGCTGCATGGTGAACCAATCAAGAGTCTACAATATTCCTGGCATTTCTTGGCCCAGCATCAATGCCACAGCCGACCAGATGCTGGCCATCTATACCATGAGCGCGGCCTCAGCAGTGACGGTGGGCGGGATCTTGTACGACACCGCAGGGTGGCAGGGGATGTCCATCTTCCACTTGATCCTGCAGGCACCATGGTCACACACACGTGCTCGATGGTTGCGCATGTGTCGGTGTGTTATTGTGCATCCTCCTTTGCTCTCTTTTGCTAGACAAGTCCAGGACTAGAGGAGACATGTCGCTGTCCACATGTTCCAGGTTTGATTTAAGATCTGGGTCTCACCAGCTTACAGGGTCCTAACCGGTTCGGCATCGGTTCTTCTGGGTTTGCGGCTTAGGTTCCTGTAAAACCATGGAAAACCGCTTCGGTTTCGTTTCAACCAGCGGTTCCACAAAAAAACCGCGGCCTTCTTCGTGGAACGCCCGGTTCGGTTTGGGCGCGTTTGGCGGTTCAACCTCGTTGCGCAGGCCATCCTCGCGTCCCTTGGCCTGCGGAGACGCCACGCTCTGCGCGCTACGGAGACGAGACATCCCAAGCGGAAGGTCCGGTCCAGGTGCTGTTTCGGGAGAGATGAGAGAGGTATCAGACAATAGGGTTTCGTTAACTTATATATTCCTCCCTACTCAGGTACACTGCACTTGTTCCGCTTGAGGCTGTTAAAGGAAGAGGTTTGCGGAACCAAATGCATGCAATGCAGGCGCCCTGACCACTTCGTGTAGATGTTCAAAGGGGTTACAGCTGCAGGAGCTTTGCCATCAACCGGACGGCTATTCCTGCCAAGGATTCTATTCATTGTGTCACCTCAATGCCGAAGCTCCTTCACAGAGTTCTTCCAGAAGAAGGCCAAGTTTCCAGTTACTTTGGAATCCTTAGACGCGGTTTCTGGAATCTGCCACTGTTCAATTCAAGGACTATAGACCCACTGTTTGTCTTCGATATTCTTCGACTCAATCCTCCAACTATAGAACATATTAAAAGGGTATTAACTAAAAGAATGCCTTTCTGCAGAATCATTCTGAACCGGGAACTCTTTTGCATCAGCTTGGGCGTGTTCTGTGCCCCCCAACATCAGAAGACTGCAGCGTCGTGGAGATCCATCGCCCACACGGCTCACTCCGGTTCTCTCCCGGTCGGCACGGTCGGCACGTGAGAGAAAACCAAGACCGTAAGAGAAAACGTGCCTTGAGAGCCCATGGTTTGGACCATTCGGGAGGAACAAAACACGTCAAAAACACCGATGTCTTCATCTCGCGGCACTTCTGACCGTTACGACCCTTACGACCGTTCAAGTGAAGTCGACAGTCGACAGACCGGTTTCCGAACGACCGGTCGCAGCGCGGTTCGCGGTTCGGTTCGGTTCGACTCGGAAGGTCCACGAAGCGGAAGCGAAAGAGGAGGGACCGGAAGTGCCTCGGAGGGAGCTCCGAAGGAAGGATCGTTGGAGGGACCTCAGCGGGATGCACGGTCGGTTACCCCAAACTGCATCTCAAGTGCTTGAATTCTTCAACCACATGATTGGGCACCCAAGTTGATGAGGCTGTGTGGTCAGTTGGTGATTGGCGCTCCAGAGCTGGTGGAAGTCTTGAGGACTTCCTTTTGGCGCCAGGTTTGTCCACTGGTGCTGGTCAGTGTGCCAGCTTAGCTTTGGGTGAATGTAGACCAAGGATGACCAGGGATGGTACCGCTGATGCTACACTGCTGGTCATTAACATGTCATGCAAAGTGGACCTGGCCAAGACCAGTTTCCTCTAAGAAGGACCATGTTGCATCATGTTGCATCTCCATGTTACTGTCATTCTTAGTCACCTTCCCCTTCCGTGTCTTTTGTTGAATCGCATCAGAGATTCACCATTGAACTCGTTTCACGAAAAACAAACACACAGGTTGGACCCCTATTTCCGATGGTTTGTTTCTGATTCTTCTTTATGTTGGCAAGGTTTCTTTTCAACAGCCCCAGGATTCGATTGTTTACCTTACTCTCGACCTTCGACCTTTCCCAGTGGATACGATTCATAGGGAGTCGCCGAGCTGGTTCTAAAAGAAGGAGCCAGAGGTAGACTGGACATGACTGGACACAACCGACACCTGGTTATACCTGGTTCACCTCCCGGTGTTGCGGATCAAGTGATGCTTTTTCCTGTCTCGTTGAATCCCCAAACCTGGAGAAGATGTGTCCAGGTTCCAGCTCTGCAGCGCCAAGACCTGCTTCGAAAGGATTTGTCGTCGGGGCGCCACCAGGAACTGAGCTCTGTCGTCCCATCGGCGCCGACTACAAGTGGTGCTGCTGTGATCGAAGAGCTTCGGACTGAGTGGTGTCGATGTGGCGGGGTGGGACTGGGAGTAGAGAGAGTCATGTGGGCAACAAGAGAAAGTGAAATAGACAGGGAATCCCGGTGAATTCCTAAAATCGTCCGGCTTCAATTTTTCCGTAGCCAAGCTTGAAGCAAGCCACCAGTGGCCAGTGACTTATCCATATTCTGTGTGATCTATGAACAATATGAACAATGGACAAAATGGGGCATCCAGTCAGTTGGCTCTGGAAGAGACCCACATGAAGAGTGAACAATAGCCTTCGCACACCGGGCATGCCCCCCGGGCACAGAGTTTGGACAGACCTGACTACAATCCATTCTTAATGACTTAATGCAGACATTGCTCGGTCAGCATGCACGCGCGCGCGCGTTCACTGGAAATAGGCGTTTCTTTGGGGCAGAAAAAGAAGCCTCAAAAACGCCTCAAACCGGCCTAGGATGGGTGTCTTGGGGGGAGGTACCGCGCGCGCACCGCCGCGCCGCCGTCCAAAGGGGCCAGACTGGAGGTGAACCCGGGACCAAAGCCGGGGGCAACGCTTGTCCCGAGAAAAAACAATCTTGAAGGTCCCAGACCAGAATAATTTTAACACATTGTCATTGAAGCGGCAGTTTTTGTTCGGGCAAGTATTTGGCAACGTGACGGCTGAGTAACATGGCCCACCGCTCAACGGAGGCCGCTGTTGAGCCGCTCACGTTCATCAGCCTAGACTTGGGTCGGCGGATTGACCCTTCAAGTTCCAAGCCGTATGGGCATAGCATGCTCACGCGCAAGTCAAGTGTGCAAGTTCAACCTATTCAGCAAAAACCGCTGGTTCTTCGGAGCTTTTCTGGACCTCATCAGGAACCTACCTTGCCGGGCCTCGTCGAGGATGAAGTGCTGTCACCCCTGTACGAGGAGCTGCCGTGATGCTTTGGGGGACAGACGGGCCGAAAACGCCCCCCCCGCAGTGCCCCGCAGCCATGCAGGTCCGTGGGACTTGACCATACGGGTGCTCAACCCATTGATTCTTTGAGAAGTTTATGCAATCAATCGGCCAGAGTCCTTGAAACCGGAGTTGTGCCACCACCTTGGGGTGTTGGAGGGGTAAGAAGTAAGGCGGGCTCTTTTTCTTAATGGCCGCTCCCATTTGGATTGAAACACCTCGTTATATGGGAGGCCAGGGTTTAAAAGTCTACATAACTACATTATGTCAATTGTTTGGGACACTGGAAGTACGAGTCACGTACTAGCCACGAAGATACACCACTAGCGCTGTCTTTGCGATGCAGGAAGATGGTGGAGCCAAGTTCCTTGGCAGAGATGCCACTGGTGGAAACCAGAAGCTACACCAGTGGCAAAGCCGGCAAAGCAGGTGAGGACGCAAATGTCATGAGGTTCTAACCTGCCCACCCCACTGCCCACCACCCCAGAGAGTGAAAAAATACAAAATGTGGGAAACCCTTGTTAAGGGTGGATTAGAGACTTAATTGACCTCTAATCAGGCCCAATTAAGAAACCCTTATTTTCAACACCTACTCAGCAGACTTAGGCCACTATTAGGGGCCAACTGACCCAACTTGCTTATTTTGGCCTTATTTGTTTTCAACATAAAAACCGTTGTGAATTTTATGTTGTTTCCGCGATCATCCCTAATAAGCGCATATTTCAAAATTCATGCCGATTGGACGAAATCGCATCGAAAGGGATGTGTTGACCTCAAAAATTGCAAAACTTTACGGAGAAACAGGTCGATTCGCCAGTCGATCTGGGAGTCAACCGTGTTTTGGCCTCATGTCCATTTCACTTGAATCAACCCCACCTAAAACATTCTTCAGGTCAATCCCTAATAAGCTCTTATTAGGCATTGCCCTAATTCCCTCTTCAAGGACCACAGGACGCCCATTTGCAAAATCTTACGGCCTAAACTGCTCTTGAGAATGTTTCAGATCGATCCCTAATAGGCCTTACTTAGGCATGTCCCTTTTTCTTTCTTCAAGAACCCTGTGATTTTTATATGCTAAACGGGTAGTGCCTTATTAAGGACAATTCTCGATTTTACATAAAAAACAGCGTTTCACCCGTATGAGTTCTTAATTTGGCTGCATTTTTGGGGTGGTGGGCAGTGGGGTGGGCAAGTTAGAACCTCATGAAAATGTGTTACCAATCAAACATCAGATGCTCTGATCGTACCTGATCCACGGTGACCTAGACGTGAACCCCTCGGTTTTTAAACAACTTGCCAGGTCCTGGAGGAGATCGTTTCAGATACTGTAGTTCACTCAAGGCCTGCAACATCCTGCAACTGAAGTTGCAAGGTACTTCATGCATGTCTCTAGGGATGACCAGGGAAATCAAGAAGGTCCCCTGATGATTCAGGGGTCAGCCGATCAAGAACCTACCCAGTCGGTGGATAACCCTGGATAATCTTTAACTTAACCTTTTTGGGGGGATTGGTTTCCTTATGGAAAGTTTGCCTAAACTTTGCCTGGGGGATTCCTTTGGGGGGATTGTTTCTTTTTTGAACTAAATACAGTATCAACTACAGTATCAACATATGGAAAGTATGGTTCACCTTTTTGTTCCAGGGATTTCCGGCTTGGGAGTCAGCCTTTGGGGGTTCAGTGAGAAGTCAGCCACTGGGAGGACTTCTGGACGCCGATTTGGTTCTCGCTTTAAAAAGCGGTCATGACTCCCAATCTCATACAACAGGCTGGGAGTTGGTTATCGGATTCTTTCTTTGGCACAATATCCCAAACTTGTTTCATCATCAAAAGATTGTTATAAACCGTGGGCCATCACTCCCACTGCTGTTGGATGCGGTCTTGACCTGCTTTGATCCCTTGAGGCCCTTGGATCGCTAGGGCCGCTAGGGCTTGGTGAGCACAGGTGAGCGATGGTGAACATGCCTCCATCCCCGGCAAGGTCTAGCAACCTTCGGGGCTCCATGCTTTCGGCCGGCGGTGAGGCTTCATTGACCCTTGGTTGTTCAAACCGTTCGGAACGTGGGCTCCGCTCACGGAGCTCACGGGGCGTTGCTTCAAACCCGTGGAGTGACCGAAGATCAGGCAGTTGATGATGACGATGCTGCGTATAGGCGTAGGTGGCAGGTACTGGTGGGTTGGCGTAGGATGCGTAGGCTGTAGGTGGAGGCACTTATTTATACAAGTTGTTTGCATAGGATTCTGCGGAGGTTGCTTTTGGAGTGCACATTCTAGAGAAACATGTTGGGCACAGAGCCAACTAGCAAGTGGGCTATTCTCCTCTAAAGCAGGGTTGATCATACATGAATCACCTTGAAGGCAAGACACCGAAGACAGTGGGTTCTTGGAGTCCTTAACGCACATTTGCACGGATGGCGGGTGTCTCGATTGGTTGTGCACATGTTTCGCGCCAAGTCGCATCCCCGTTGGGTGGGGAGAAGTTTCAAACAATGGCAGTGGGTCCAAGCAGGGTCTCACCCTGGGCCAGACCACCGAACATGAATCGACTCAGCAGTGGGATGTCAATCTTTGGTGTTCTGGGGAGGTTTTGACTCACAGCCATACAAAGCGGGAGAATTGTTTTTGTCATTTTTGTTCAACTCCTTTCATGTCGTTTGGTTTTCGTCTCACATGAAACCAATTGCTATATTTCTTACAAACTTCATTGAACAATACACCCAACACTGACAATGAACCGAACCGAATAACACCACCTCACATGCCTCACCACCTCATCCTGCCCAACGTCTTCGAACCTTTGTCTCGGTTCCACGCCTTTGCAAGGACAGAAGCGCAACCGTTTGGGGTTTCCCTAGCTGGTCTCCCGTTTGCTGCGCGCGGAGGCATCACACACCCGTTCGAAGCTCCAACTTCTCCGCCACGCCGAATGCATCGCCGCAGCGCGGCTCTGTCGGCGACTTGACCTCCCGACCCCTGGAGGGGTCCACGTGGAACCCCAGAGGTCCACGCCCTTTGGTATTCGGAAAAAGGTCGAAACCACCAGTCCGGGCTTGGAGCCCAGTTCCATGCTAGGAAAGGCGGGAGAGTAGATGATAGAAAGGTTTTGCAATCCCTTCTGTTAGAGTTAGAAGGTTTTTATCTGGGGAGGCTTCATGGGAACTGACTTTTTCTTCAGGCTTTTCCTTCAGAGGCCTAAGCGGAAGTCATAGACTCTGAGGTCTTTTGACATGACCTGGAGTGTGCCTCTCAAGCATTGTTGGGACAGTCTTGATCAGAAATTGATTGGACTTGGACTTGGCGTTCAGCATGGCGTGGCTTTTCTCGACACAAATGATTTCACTTGGATAGATAGCACCGTGAAGGATTACTGTGGTGGCCCCAAAGTTGAGGAGACACCAAAGCGCACCATGAACCATAGGGCTCGAGATCGCCAGGACTTTTGCTTTGTAGCTGTTTGTTCTGGAACAACTCAGAGCCCCAGTCTTCCAACGAAAAGAGAGGGGAACACCATTCTCAAAAGACCCCCCCCGCGTGCGATTCTCGGCTCCGTTCTCGCGCGAGACCACACGTTCTCGCGCCTCTAACGCACAGCGCTTTGAGCACCGCGCCTGAGGAGAGTTGAAGCGCTCGTCGATGCAAGACGGTCGATCCTCGATGCGCTCCGGACGCGCTACCGGACGGATGAGCCAACAGAGCAGGACTTTCGGGCGGGGGCGAGGCACTTCCGGCGGCGACAGTTGCGGAATGATCGGAATGGATGTCCTGGTGAACGCATCGGTGGTTTGGCTTGATTTGCTCATTTTTCCGGAACTGGCTAAATCACCTCAAGATCTGGGGAATATAGATGATTTAGGTAGTCTGGGGAATCAATTGATTCGTTGGGAAGATGAATCGAACGGTTCGACAAATCCAAGATGTGGTGCAGTTGGGTCGGATTAGGATTGTGGTGCAGTTCGGTCAGTCTTCGCGAGGACGTGAGTCGATCAGGTGTCGAACAAAAACATATCAAAAGGTGCATCAAGGGTCTCCTAGGGATCCAGTCGTACCTCCTCAGAAGGTGTTTGCGGTGGGTGCCAGGAGGGTCCAGGTGCCTTCTGAGAAGGTACGACTGGAATCCCTTATATATGTTGACTCTTGATTAAACTCCCCCCCCGGCCCCCCCCCCTCAACAACTAGGGCCTCCAATATTATATATAAGAAAACTAATCAAAGGACAAAAACAATTAGAATCCTTATTAAAATCTTCTTGGCCTTCTCTGGCAATTGTTAAAATGTAAGAGAATCAATGAAATCTCAAATTGAAGACATCTGGAATACTAAAATAAAAGGACATCAATAACATCTCAATGGAAATCTTCAAAATTTATCTGAATCCAAAGACCTTCAAAAGCATCCAATACTTTTGAATAAGGGTTTCGTAAAGAAAGTGTGCACTGACTTTTGGAAACTTTTGGAAAGCTTAAAGACTAAAGAGCTTAGGTAAGTAAAGCAAATCAAAAGGAAAAGAAAGGGAAATCTTCAAATGTTTAATAGAAATCTCCATCCAAAAGCCGCCAAAAGCATCAAATCTCAATGGAACTCTTCAAATTTTTAATAGACATCTCCATCCAACAGCCTAAATCTCCATCCAGCAGCCTCCAAAAGCATCAAATCTCAATGGAAATCTCCAATGTTTAATAGACATCTCCATCCAAAAGCCTGTCAGACAAGCAAATCCCAGCAAACTCGAAAGGGAAAAAGTAAACTATAACAATTAAACATATTCCACTACAACTACCCCTGCCAAAAAACAAAGACATTATTCTGGGGGCCTTTATTAATCAGTGCAGGAAAAATACATTATTCTGGGGTACTTTATTAATCCAGGTTAACCATTAGGGGTCTATTATAAGATGTGTGGATGTCCAGTTGACTCCACGTTTGCCTCAACGTCCAGTCATCGCGACTCAACGTCCGCCTTGCGTGAACCCGCCTACCCGTGAGAAGAACTGCGGCAGATCCAGCAGATTGAGGTCATTTGATGTTTTAAACAAACGACAAGGCATGATAAGGCTGTAAGTGGTTATACAAAATGTGTATAATATATATAATATATTTATTTAATATATCAGTGTACAGGTCGGCACAGAGAAGCTGTGTCAGTCCTTTGCACAGAGCGAAGGCTCCGATCCGGGCCAGTCGGAGTCGGCGTCGTTTTTTTTTGGTTGGAGAAAGAATGCATGGTGAGTTTGTTGTTACTAGTAGCGTGGCACTTGTTACTACTAGCTTCTTGTTACTA